TCTCCATTTTTCTGTTTCAGCTTTTTCATGTTGCACTGTTTTGCTGTAGTGTTCAGCATCCGAGAAGGGCATGTGTTCTTCACCTGTTATGGTTAACAAAAGCTGTCTAAGAGAATAGCTGGCAAAATAGGTACTTCAGGTTTATTGTTATTTCAGACCTTTTATAAATGGCAGCAAAAATAGCTAATGTAACATACTTCTTTCCATTATTAGTTTTCTTGGCATCTCTAGTAAGATAGGATGGTTCTTTCTCTTCCCTTTTTCTCTTTACCGTCTTTCCTTTGCAATATGTGGTCCAACACGTTGACTCGTCTGTTATTTATTCTTGATTGTAGTTTGCTAATCCTGATTTTACGCAACCAATCTCAGAAGTAGTAGATGAAGTTATTCAGAATTGTCCCATTGATGTTAGACGTCCTCTGTATAAGGTCAGTAGCTATAATTAATTTTTTAAAAACTTGTTTTAGAAGGATTGTGCTTTATATTGAAATATGTATTTGAAACTATTTAAAAAAACCCATAAAATTAACCATTTTTCTAGAAACAAGTCCAATATATAGAAGGCGTTACGTTGTTCACTTACGCTTTTTTCAGAATGTGATGTTTCATTACTCGTACTGTTATTTAAAAGAAAAAGAAATAAGGAAAACATAAATCTGAGCGAAATAAGTGACATGTACCACAATAGAAATGGATTTTAAAGCACAGCCAACTTTAATGTGACAACCTTTTTGTGAATTCATATTCTGCCGTGCTTAAGTGTTAGATAATTTAAAACTTAAAGTAAAAGCATATAATTTTAAAAACTATATTTAGCTATTTAGAATTTAAGAACTGGGTAAAGTTGGAGACTTACATTTTCAGAAGCAGTTAATAATTTTTCTTACTCAAAACAGAATATTGTCCTCTCTGGAGGCTCAACCATGTTCAGGGACTTTGGTCGCCGTTTACAGCGAGACTTGAAAAGGACTGTTGATGCCAGACTGAAACTTAGTGAAGAACTTAGTGGTGGCAGACTGAAGGTTAGTTCTTGCAGATAATGCATTTAACAAGCATCTTTGTCTCCCTTGTTACCTGGAAAATGCGAAAATAATGTATTGCGATGACGTTCATGTTTGTTGAAAGGTCTTCATTTAAAGTTTTCAGAGAATTGTAGACTGGTATTGGAAAATACTTATATAATCCTTTCATTGTGGGAAGCTATAGTGCTATTTCCCCTGGTATGCGCTCGTGCTGCCTATCCGTTGGTACTGAACTGAATCAGTCTCACCTAATGAAAGGATGGGACTTATGCCTGTTCTGTAAAAGCAGTTGGTTGCTCCCCAGCTTTTTTCTTTGTGCGTAGTGCTTATTGATCAGTTGCAAATCATCGTCCTCGGTCTTTTGAACTTGAGAGATGGAGCAAGCCCGTTGTTGAGTCACCAGGGTAGTAAAAGGACTGCAGCACTTGTCCTGTGAAGAAAGGTTGAGGGAACTGACTTCTTTAGAGAAGAGAAGGCTTTGGAAGTCCTAATAGCAGCCCCTTGATATATGTGGGAAGATGATTGAGAAAGTGGGACCGGGCCCTTGACAGTGCTGAGTGGTGGGTGCATGAGAGACAACAGATATAAATTGAAGCAAAGGAAGTTCAGCTTGGATAAAAGGAGAAGCTTTTTTTTTTTTTTTTCATCGTGGGGGTAATCAGGCACTGGAATAGGCTGCCCAGAGAGGTTGTGCAGTCTCCATCCTTTTGGAGGTTTTTGAGATTCAGCTGGATAAAACTCCGACTCGCTTCCTCTGACCTCGTAACTGACTCTGCTTTGAGCTGGAGGCTGAACTAGAGACATTTGGAGATCCCTTCCCACCTAAGTTATCCTATGAAAAAACTTCATGTTTTCATTAAACTGCGTGATACTTAACTTACGTTCTTTCCACTTTTGAGCTCTGATGTAACTTTTTCATTTTTTCTGTAGACTGCATTCATAAAAGATACCAGCAGCGAAAAAATGACTTTGTTTTTTACTTTTAAGTCAAGATTGGAGTGATTTTCTTCCTTTATTTTTTAGTAGTAATCTAGCTAGATGAGCTCAAACAATCCTTAAAACCTCCAGTATAGCTTCATAATATATCATGCTAGAAAACTTTGAAATTTCAGTTCTATACAGTTCTCTGGTTCATGTAACCTTGTTTCTTACCAGATTTTTACCACTTGGTAAGGAAGCAGGATCTGAATGAGGAAATCTGATGTGCTTCTACCTTCTTCAGAGTATTAAGCATTGCAAGTAGTCAGTAGCTTGAATTTTGCTAATCTGTTACAAATGACTTTTAGATACTGTTTCAAATCGTTCAGATTTCAGCAGGTCATACTGGAACTAACACATTACTTCTTTCTGAAACTGTTATGTACGCTGCCGGTTTTGGTAAGCGCAAGTAAGGAGTGAATGATGCAGTTTTGAAAAGCATGACTGTTACTGTATAGGTCCTCAAACTTTCAATCAATCTGCGACGGACGCTTTGTTAAAATAATGACACGAAACTTAAAAATTAACTTTCTGAAGTGTTTTTTCTTGAAAAGGGTAAGTAGTATGGATCTACTCTTACAACTGCGTAAATAAACAGTTCCTCAAGAAATTCAGCAGAAAATAGAAGGTGGATAATTGGAGAGGAACACTGTATTGGAGCTCTTGGGAGAAAATTGGTGTGAATGCAAGTATCTCTTAATGTCTGACAAAGTAGGTAACTGGCGATTTATAAGCAAGAGCTATTTCTTAGTCTGGGTTGTACAAGAGAAAATCTGGTGCTATAATTGTAAATTTACATACTCAGCATTTAAGAAAATACTGATTTGTGAAAAGTAAGCTTGGAATGCACATTTCTTTTAAAAAGATCTAATTTGTATCAGCAAAAGTGACTTTTAATGTATTCTTTTTTTTTTAATAGCCTAAGCCCATTGATGTACAAGTCATTACACACCATATGCAAAGATATGCTGTTTGGTTTGGAGGATCAATGCTGGCTTCCACAGTAAGTTAGCCATAAAGCTGAGCATGTTTTAGTCATTCTGGGTTCGCTTTTGGAGTTCTCATCTCCCCTTCATTCTATATTAAATGCAGTTGGGGGATTTCTGATAGGCCTTGGGTAGCAAATATACTGTCCCTGCCCTCTTCGAAGATTTTGCGTTAGACTTTAAAGATTTGAAAGAGCAAATGAACGCTCAGTTACAGCTTTGTGTGAGTTGTTAAATACTGCATTTTAGCTTTGTGACAAAACACATTGCTTGCATTGGTGTTTAGCCATGCATGATGTCATATCAATTTCAGGACTTCCAAGTTATCTGTATTTGGTTTTTTGCATTTGCTACCTAAATGTTAATATTGTTCAGATAAGGTGTACGTGCCACTGACTTATTATTTTTCACTTTCCCTTTACAGCCTGAATTCTACCAAGTATGCCATACCAAAAAAGATTATGAAGAGATTGGTCCTAGCATCTGTCGTCACAACCCTGTGTTTGGAGTCATGTCTTAAAGCTGACCTCGGAGGGGTCAGGGATAGGGAGGTGGGGAGGAGGAGTCTTTCTGATTACTTGTTTGTCTGATGGCTGGTATTAAGATAACAAACATGACTTGACAATAAGAAAAAGACCAAACTCAATTAAGCAGGATTATTTTAATAAGTGTCTCAACATGCGGATGTAGTGGAAAGCCAAAATGATCACGTTTTTTCTTTAGATTGATTATTTGAACCTGTGCATAACAAAACAAAAAAAGTGGATTTTAGTTCTTTCTGTGCCCTGATATTTTGTATATTAATGAATTATCCAAGATTTGGTGGGATTTGACAGTGTGTAGATAGTCAGCTCTCTAATGCTTCCGTTGTACCCTTTCATGGGTGCAATGCAGGAGCTTGTTTATATTTCATACTTTTTTATACTTTGAGGAAAAATATGAATTAAAGAAACTGTAATATTTGAGGAAAAAATTTTACCAGTGACCAACTTGAAAGTAAATTTAAAAAAAAAAAAAAGTCATGACTCATGCAACTAGTTCTTGCAAATCATGACCAGTCTAAATCCTGGGTTCCAGACAATGCGAGTGCTTTTGGAACTAAGAAGCTAGTATCTTGGATTAACCGATGCCTGCTAGTGCTTTCTGATTACTTGGTGCATTTTCATACTATCTCTTGCTTTAAAAAAAAAAAAAAAAAAAGTAAAGACAAGACTGTTGGACCAGTATTGCAGTTCTGTAGTGTCATTTCTAATTAAAACCAAATAATCAGGTTATCAAAATTGGTGTATTTAAAGCCTAACACCATTCCAATAAAGGCACAAAATTTCTTTTTATGTTTGTGTCAGCCTTGTTAATCTCATTACATGGGAAGTTGTGAGCATGGGTTCCTACATATCCGCTGTGGCTTTTGAAGAATAGGATTGGTCTGTAAGGTAGAGATCGTTATGTGCATTGTGTAAACTGAAGTGTGAGCATTTTAGAACTGCAGTTTGTGTGTTCATCTAGATAGCACTTATCTATATAAGCCTAACATCTCCTCCGTTGTTAGGTTTGTTCATCTACTTTGTTCTGTAACTTTTTTCCCCCCCGCTTTCTTTCAAGTGGTGGTATACAGGAGACAGCACTGCGTTTAAATCTCTGTGGTTTTTCTGCAAGAAAATACCATGTAGATAAAAATAAAGTGAAAACAATCTCTTTCTCATTCTTTCTAGGAAGAACGCTTCATATATTGAGTGGAATTACGTAGAATTTCTGTTAATATTTGATGAAAGAAAACTCCTCTTTAGACACTTCTGAACTCACCAAGGTAGTTAAGGTTGTTTACATAGAAGACCACAAGAGGGAGATCTCTTGGTTTCTTCTGAGCTGTAAAGATTCCTCAGGTTGTTTTTGTTTTTGTTTTTTTTTTTCTTTTTTGGAGCAGCTTATCAATTGCCAGAGCTTCTAGTTGCTTCAAAGCATGATAAGTGAGACTCCGAAACAAGGATAAATATGGGAAAGTATTTTTACAGCAAGCATATGAAAATTTACATGCTGGAATCTAACAGAACCTTGGTGCAAACAAGAAATGTTAAATAATTGTGTTACAAAACTATTATTAACATCTCCCTGTCGATGATACCATTTTTGAGACTTTTTCAAATAGTGACCTTTCGAGTCCTAACTGCTGACTGATCCATGTGGTAAGACCGCTAGGCAAATACGTGTAAAATAAAGAAGTTAATTTAAGCTGTGCTTTTCCAACAGTCCTCTGGTTCTGCATCACACGCTCGTGACCGGATTTCCTGATACACTGTAACGGCTGAAGATAAGGCAAGGTTGTGTGTTTTCCCCTCTAGAAAGCAGAGTAGTAAAAATTCCCTTGAAAAAGTCAGTTCCTGATACATGGGTACATAGTGTAGTGAGGAAATGTACAGAAAAGGCGCGAATGACGGTTCCTGTTTCACCCAGCTATGTGTCTGTCTCTGGGATTATGTGCAGGGATGCACAGAATGCGTAGGTGTGGAGATGGTAAACTCTTGGCTGAAGGACAGACTTGGTGTATATTGGCTGAAAGCTGTCCTGCAGCTGGTCCTGGATGTAACTGCAGCTCTGGGTTGTGGATCTTCTGGAGCTCCGATCGGACCTGGTTTTTTTTTCCTCCCATTTCTGTTTGCTGTCACATTCAGGCCTCTGTTGCTGGGGCAGTTGGTGAAAAGCCACCCGGAGAATTCCACTGATGTGGAAGGAGCCCAGGGGTGGAAGTTGGGGTGCAGGAGCTGAGTGGGTGGTCACAGAGGATTTGGGGAGGCTCGGAGAGGCAGTGCAAGTGAGAACCCCTTAAGCAAATCTGGTGTTGTACAGATCCTTTACAGGCTGTAAGTTATTGAGATGCCCTGGGCATGGGTGCTGGGTGGATCTGCTCGGCAAAGAGCTGCCTGGATTAGAGAGTGGCGGCATCCAAATACTCAGAATTTGGCTGTTTTTTGGCTATGGTGGGTAACCAGGAGAGGCAGGCTGTTCTTGTGTACAGTGTTTCAGCAGCTGGGCTCTTGTAGGAGGGGGGAGGCGGGAATAGGAAGAAACGGGCTGCCCCAGGAGGGGATGGTGTCCAAGGGACTCGCTGATTTGGGCAGGCCCGTTGGGTCTGTGTTTTACAGAAATAGGCGCTGCCTCGTGGTGGGCAGCCCTCTAGAGCTGGGCTGTGTATCTGGCTCAATCATAACTGGATTAGCTATTAGCTTGTGTGTCAAAGAAACAAGCCAGGTCGTAGATGAGCTCTTTGATGGGAGGAAGAGTTGACGTTTGAGTGGGAAAGCTGTCAGGCTGTGAGTGGGAGTTGCTGCCAAATGTGAAATAGGATGAGTTTTGCATTCCAGCTGTAATCAGTGGGGGAAGTGCAGGTACTCCCAGGGTTTTCATGATTAATTCGGTATGTTCAGGAGTAAGGCCAGGAGTGTTTTTTTCCTAGGGTGAGGGGTACCTGCTGCCAAAACTGAATCAAAATAGCTGAGCAACCCAGGACGGTGTGGCTTGAGGGACCTCCCACACCAAACTCTTGATCCTGTGTACAGAACTAGAAATCTCATGCTCCAGGAGAAGCTCTGTTGTCTCAACCTGGTCTCGCTGTCACTGATGGGCCTGGGCTCCCAGAAGAGGAGGTAGCGCCTGTGCCCTCAGTGCTGCCGAGCAGCCCACACCTTGCCTGACTTGCTCAGGTGAGACATGTACAATTTCCTCTAGCTGCCTGCACATTGATTACAAATCAAGGAGCTTAATCTTTTGTTATACTGTTCCAACATGTGTTCGTCTTCCTGTGGCTCCAAGAAAGTTGCTTTGAACTTCTATTAGCCGTTTGTGTAGAAGAGAGAGGGAAGTACCTGTGCCCTTACACAACACTCATTTTCTTGTAGCTGTAAATTAAAACGATGTCAAGCTTCTTAGAGAATGAAATAAGTGGGAGGTTTTTGCAATGTGGTTTTTTGGTTTTGTTTGGGTTTGTTTTTTTTTTTTTTATACTGTAGAGGTCATTTCAGAGAAGGTACACGGCCATGGCTGATTTCTGGTGCGTTGGGGAACTAAAAATCTATGAGCAGCTCCTGTTAAGGACTTGGACTGAACAGTCATCAATACTTAAACACACCAGCTGTAATACTCAATTACAGTCCTGTACGCTGGGAATAACTCTTTGGGAATGGCTCACATTGGTGTTCTGCACCTGTAACACCGGATCTGAATCTGAGGTGCCGCTGGGATGGTGGAGGGGCTGAGTGGTCATCCCAGGGGTCATGTAAAGCAGGCACCATACAGTGTGAATAAAAGGCAATTTCAGAAAAGCCCTGTGCTCTCCTTAAACACGTACCTCCTGTTGTTCTGTGCTGGGTTTAAAGCATCCAAAAGGTTAATTGCAAAGGCAAATGTTTAAAGGAAAAAAAAAAAGTTAGAATTAAACGATACTTTTCTTCTCAGGGAGATTACATACAGAAGGCAGTTACAATTTGTAACCATGTGCAAATTTAGCTTCCTTCCCTTGGTTTCAAAATCCTGTTGTGTTGGTAATTAACATCCCAAGAATACACAAAATGCTTCCCCTGGTCCCTCTCTTTGAAGTGCGCATGGATAACCTGGCCAGGGATGGATGCTGCACACAGCTGGGTGCGGCCATGGGACCTGGTGGGCGACTGAGCTGGCTCGGCAGGAAGCATCCAAAATGCACGCATAGGAACATGCGGTGGCGAACACCCCGCGTCGGTATTTCTTCTCAATCATCCAACATACCACAGAGATGCTACGCTTGCTGTGTAACGGAGGATTCAACGGGACCCAGGTTACAGAGCAGCGTAAAGCAGGCTCGGGCTTTTATTGTCCTGGCGACTGCCGCCTGACGCAGAGCTGTCCTCTTTCTGCACAGAAAATTGCAAGGAGCGCTGAAACCTTGCAGACTGGTCCCCAGGAATTGGATTTATTCCACTAGACAAAGCGGGACTCCACATTTAATCGGCTCCGTGTGGTTAAAAGCTTGCGTTTTCATGCAGCTGGACTTGGAATAAATCAAAGGTCACTGCCAAGCCGGTTTAGGCTCATCTCGTCATCTTGTGGAAACGCTTGTGACCAAACATTAAGGTAGCTTTGGGATGAATGAGTTATTGCTTGCAAAGCTGCGCACGGGCAACTGCTGGGCATGCAGAGCTGTGGGCTCCTGCTGGCGGGACCGGGCTCTCCCAGCTCGCTGCCTGACGAGCGTGCCCGTCCCTGGGCAGGGGAAAAACTGTTTTCCAAAACTTTTGTGGCAGTAAAATTAAGAGAAATAAGTTGGTTGTTATCACCGCTTAGTTGATTCCCCAAAGAAGCAAATGATGTAGGGTAGCAATTCTGTAGTCCCAATTTCATTTTGGATTTAACTATTGAACAAAGCTCGAATAATCGGCTCCCAAGTGGCAGCCCCTCTCCCTGTTTTAGTACAAGCCTTTGTGTTTTAAACAGGAGCTGGGCAGCTCTCTGCTGTGTGGATGTTGCAGATGTCTCTTTCATCTCTTAAATTTTTTATCAAAAACTTGATTACCAAAGGGAAGTGTGGCCCATGCTGTGGCTGTGCCTCACCCACAGGAGCAGCGATGCTCTGGGTGCTTGGGCGTATGGCTCAGTTACGAATCCCCCTGCCAGCAGACAGGAGGCAATTTCTGGAATTTTGCTCATGCTACCCCAGCTGCTTTTTCCGGTACTACATCGACTGTATAAATTTTCTGGCAACTGTAGTGGGCATTAGTCATAAATGTCTGCCATAAGTGGTGCTACTCCAACTGGACAAATGCCTTTCTGCATCTTTCCTGAAGCTGGACAAGAGGGACATGTGAATAATGGTTTGGATTAAGCTTCAAGATGTTTCCTGTGTTTTCCATTTTACCACAGTGGTTTGGAAAGCCACCTCATTGCTCTGATTCACAGTAACTTGCAGAATGGCTGCTGTTTTTTTCCCAAACTTGAAGGGTTTAGTGTAAATGCATTTAATGCTGGAGAGATACCCAGAGGATACAACAGCAATGGGCTTACAGGAACAGAAGGGGTAGTGCTTGATATAGACCACGTAACACTGATATGGTTGAGAAAAGCAAAAATCAAGTTGTGTGGGTTTTTTTTCCTCCTTCTTTTCATGAATTGAAAGATCAGGCAAGGTCTATGATTTGAAAGACCAGTGCAGAAGCAGCCCTTTTCACTTCTCCAAAAC